TGCCGCGGACGGTGGCGCGGGGCGGGAAGCGGCGCCGCTGGGGGGCCAGCCGCCGGCGTCTTCGACAGCTGGAATACCAGCTCCTGATCCGGCTGACGGCGGCGGAGGCGTGGAGCTTGGAGAGCTTGTGCGGGAGAACATTGAGCGTAGCACGCGCGGCTCATTGTTTCCATTGACGCCTCCCTTGTGTCACCAAGACAACTCGCTGGTGCATTACCAGGTAGCAGAGTTGGCACTGATGATGGAGTCCATGATGATTGTTGGTGGGAATGCGCGTACCTTCGCTATGATAGAAGCGTTTAAGTCACTGCTGAAGTCAACACAGATACTCTCCGGTCCCTCGCTCCGCGATGCGAACCCGCAGGATTTTGTGAACCTGATTAATGTCAACTTTGAGTTTCTCCGTCGTAGCCGTGAGCCATCCGCCGGCATGACTCACGTCAAAGAGTTTTTAGTCCGTCGTGTTGTGGCACTGTTGTCGCAAGGTGAGAAATCGCGGTTTTCTGCGGACGATCTCTTTAGCCCACTTATGCGTGGGAATCAACAACGAGCGGTGGAGATTGAAGGATCTCCCCTCACCCACGATGGGCGAGGCGAGAGCACTTCGCTTGACGGCGACCCTCGTGAGATGACGCTGAATGTGCTGAGAGGTATTGAGAAAGAGCTGCAACTCTCCACCAAAAGTATTGTGGAGGACCGCTCGTTGTCTCACTTATCATCTAACGACACGATTCTTGTGTTTGGGAGAAGCAGTACGGTTGAACTCATTCTTCTTGGCGCCGCCAGTAATCCTAGACTGACTGTTAAGCCAAAAGTCATTGTGGTCGACTCTGCGCCACTCTACGAGGGACGCGCACTTGCAAAACGGCTCACATGCAGTGGACTTTCTGTGACGTATGGCCTCATCACCACCTGCTGTACACTTATGCCCCGTTGCACTCGCGTCTTTATCGGCGCCGCTGCCGTTCTTCAAAACGGCGATGTCTTTAGCCGCTGCGGCACGGCTGTTGTGGTTGCTAGTGCGAAGCAGTACCGCAAGCCCGTTTTGTGCTTCAGTGAAAGCTTTAAGTTTGTGCCTGAGGTTTGGCTAGGTAACCTTGGGCAGAACACGAAGCTGATTGATGTGCGGCAGTCTCACCAGGGTGAGCATAGGGTCCACAGCCCAGGCGGATGGAGTCCGCCATCGCACCACAAGAACGAGATTGAGGGACGGCAGTGGAGCCGCGGCGAAGAGAACCCGCACATGCGTTCAGGCATTACCACCGCCTCTGGATACCTGTATGACCTCACACCCGCTGCGTACGTTGATATGATTATCTGCGAAATGGGCTGCTTGCATACATCTGCCATCGTTGCGGCGCTACGGGATCGCGAGGATAGGGATGCGTACCTCATTTCGGCGGTGTGATGCGCTGGGGCTGCCACTTCACGTGCCACACAGACCTAAGACGCCTTTTTGATTATGTTAACACACTGAAAGGAGAGAGAGAGAGATTGAGCGAGGGAAATACAAAGGAAGGATGACGCGAATTTTGAAGCATATTTGTCCCTCGTGTGAAGAAATGCTGGCCAGCCGCCCCTTGGTCCGGGGTTCTCTTTCCCTTTCTGTTTCTTTATGCATCTTTGTGTTTTCGCCCTCAGCTCCATCTTTGTGTTGTATTCCCTCAGGCAACGTACACACACACACACACACCACTTCAAGTTGTCTCCTGAAGTATTACCCTTGAAAAGAGAGGTGCTGACATCCGCTTCGTATCATTCCCCCCTCCACGACCAATTGACTGAGGCGGTGCGCATGGATCGCCCAACGTCTTCCCGTGATGTGGAAGTCTTCGTCAAGGAGGCATCATCCGTCGTTGAGGGGGAGGCAGTGTTTCCAGAAGTGGAGGAAGCTTCGGAAGTTGCACTCGACACTGCGTGCGGAACAAAACGAAGCATGTCAGGTGGCATCCTGCAAGAGGGGAAATGTGGCGCGGAAAAAGAGTTGCATGAACGACTACAACTGAACCAGATCCTTCGTCCGAAATCAGCGGGTGAGGAGGAGAAGGCAGATCCTACACGCAGCTCTCCGTCCAGCAGAGAGGTGATTCGGCGAGTGTCTGATCAGGCGACATCACTTGGGCAGGGGAGAAACGAGAAAACGAGTAGCGAGGAAGTTTCTGGTGCTGATAAAGTACAATGTAGTACAGGGTCATATGTTGAAGAAAATGAAGATGCAGCAATGACGATGATGAAGGCAGCGGTGGCAGTCGCAACAAAAGAAGAAACCCCGGACGAGGATATCTGCTGCATTTGCTTAGAAGAATACACAGACGAAAACCCCATACTTTATGGCGAATGTAAGCATCATTTTCATCTTCCCTGTCTTATGGAATGGAAGCAACGCAGCAACGTTTGTCCTATGTGTGCTTCGGAGTCTTTGAGGGGGTTAGCAGATGACAGTGAGCCTCCTCCTGATACTGCTACCAACGACGATGCTTTTATTGCGCTGCTCCTGCAGCGCCAACTCGAGAGGTACGCACAACGACATGGAAGACTTCAACGTCAACGCGAGCGTAGCCACGGCAGGGTGCGTGAGGCTGCAGCTGCAAGCGCGGAGCGGCGCCCGCCAAGAAACTCTGTTTCTGGTCAAGCACAGCACATCGGAAACACAGTAGCTGTCCAACGATCTCTGGGCGGCCGTAGTGCAAATGCTAATGTTGTTGCCAATCCGACTTTAAGCGGTGGCGCTTCTACTCCGGGGGAGGCACTAAGGTATGATTACAATGCGCGGACTGAGCATCGTGTAGAGAACGAAAGACTAAAAGAAGGCGGCGTGGCGACCTTCTTCCGTAGGTTTTTCTGCTGCTCAAAGAGATGATTGAGTCGGATGCAAAATGCAAAGCAGGTTTCCTATGGTGGTGCATGCGGGTTTTGAGCATATATATATATATATATATATGGCAAGTTACAAGTTGATGCCATCCTCCTACCTTTGATGTTTTTTGTCCTAAAGTGGTTCCATTCAGTGCTTTGATTGCCGCTTTGCTTGCTGTGAGAGACAAATATGTGATTGTTTCTCCGTTCTCTTTCCACACCATTATTCTCTCACTGGTCGAAATGCTTTGAGCGCCGCTTGTTGCTTAGCAGCTTTTGTTTGCGCGCCCAGTGAGAGGATAGATGTGGCAGAGGTGCTGTGGGAGGGAGCACTAGGGAATATAATATATATATGTATATTATAAGGGGCTGCGCGGCCCAAATCCATCCGCGATGCAGTTCCCGATAAGGTTTGGCCGGAAGTGCGGCTCCGCCAGAAACCGGGTTGTGGTTTTACGCGGTGAGACGCAGGATTTTTGGCGGGTGGAGAGAGAGAGAGAGAGAGGGGGGGGCGCGGACGCGATGTGTGCTTCACTGGTTGCAAGCACCGCGAACAAATCGCCCCACCAAGACATGGGGAAAAGCCAACACATCCCTGTACGGCACAGTGTGCTTTTTCCGGATAATATGTAGCACTCGGCGAGCGCGTGTGTGCAGAAGGCGAAATAGCGCTCAAGGTGAACAGCAGCAGCCACATAAAGTCCCCAACCCCACCCATAAAAGTGAAGGTATGCGTTGAGAGTGTTGAAGGATGGTGGCAACGGCTTACAAACGAGAGAAGCAAATTCCCACGCGCTTTAAGCTCTCCCTATCAATGATGATCTTTGGGTATGATGGTCTGGCAACCCGCTTTTACCTGGGTGTTTGCTGGCCCTCGATCCTCCCCAATTCTCTCATTTTTCGGTTGTATGCCTTCTCACTGGATCCGTATACACAAATATGACATTCTTTCTGAATATGCGGCGCTCGCAAAGGACTCAAGTCGATGCGCCCTACAAAGATCACGTGAACTTTTTTTAAAAAAAGGACTGAGAAACTTCTCACCTCGAGTTTTGTGTGTTTTTCTTGAGCAAATGGATGCATAAAGCATGAAGATGCAACTGCACATCCATACACTTCGCCAGCTCGCCATGCCTTCAACGTCACCTATTCTCTATCCTTGTTTTCAGCCAGACCCCACACAAGCAAGCACGATCATGTCCTCTCCCACTGCCAACGCAAAAAATATCGGTGCCACAAAGAAACGAGCAGTCAAGAAAACTACAAAAAAGGCGCCCCAGTCTAAACGTAGTGCCCAAAAAACAAACATGAAGAAGTCCTCGCCCAAGAAAACGGCAGCGAAAAAAAACACAAAGGCAGCTCCAAAGAAGGCGGCAAGAAAGACGGCACCCAAGAAGAAGTAGGGTCCTTCTCCAATGTATGTGCCCTGCCGCCGCTGCTGCTGTCGCGTGCGCCGGCACACCTGACAGGTGGCGCCTCTCCTGCCCTTTGCGGCAGTGTCAGTGTCATTGTTCATGTCTTCCAACTAGATTCTTGTTTCTTTCTTTGTCCGGCGCGGCTGTAGCGAGTCGCTCCCGCCACGCCACCGTGTGTACGCCGCTCATGCAGCGCCTCGTGTGGTGTTGCCCCATAGAGATCTCCCCGAACCTCCACGTACCTTTCGCTCTGTTTATTTGAGCTTTGGCTCTGTGTGGCTGCGTCGCCCGCACTGCACGCTCTCCGTCTGCCTCCTGTTGTTGTTTTGTTCTGACGCCAATAGTTTGCTCCAAGACCCAGCTAACTACTCGAGAGAAAAAAGGAAATGGCTGACGCTGCTGTCGTTGCTGCCCCCGCAAAGGTGTCGCCCAAGAAGGCATCCCCAAGGAAGGCCGCCAAGAAGAGTGTGAGGAAGCCGGCCGCCAAGAAGCCTGTGGCGAAGAAGGCAGCCAAGAAGGCCGTTGCCAAGAAGCCGGCGGCGAAGAAAGCAGCTCTGAAGAAGGTGGCGAAGAAGGCAGCCAAGAAGCCGGCGGCGAAAAAGGCGTCCCCCAAGAAGGCGGCAAGGAAAGCCGTTGCCAAGAAGCCGGCGGCGAAGAAGGCAGCTCTGAAGAAGGTGGCGAAGAAGGCACCCAAGAAAAAGTAGGGTCCGTCTCCAATTTCTGCGCCGGCACACCTGACAGATAGTGCCTCTTCTGGCATTTGCGGCAGTGTCAGTGTCATTGTTTTTGTCCTCCAACTAGATTCTTGTTTCTTTCGTTGTGCGGGGCGGCTGTAGCGAGTCGCTCCCGCCACGCCACCGTGTGTACGCCGCTCATGCAGCACCTCGTGTGGTGT